AACCCCAGATGGCTAGAAGGGAATCACCTTTTTCCATATTCTTACTATTGTTCCCACTGACTAGTACTCTAGACACTGTGGGACACAATTTCTCACTTAGTCTACCTTTATCCATATAATAAATACAAACCATATGCACCATTAACCCATATTCATATTTTTAACTCGTGGGTGAAAATGCGGGAACCACGTGTCCTGTTGTTTTATGTAGAAGGCTAAGGGAGAAAAACCACAAGATGTACAATGTGTCGAAATTCAGCAAACTGAACACGTTTATTATCAGCCTCATATTATACTGTTAATTGACAATAATTTTCAACCTTTCACATCCACAATGCAGTCACCAGCAGTGTAAAGTAAAAAGTACAAACATTTTTCTTACTGAGAAGGGAAAAAGATTTACGGACTTTTAACGTTTAAGTGTTGATCAAATACAGTGGGAAACTATAGAAAACCTGTTAGCTACTTTTGGTACCATGTGTTACAGATATGATTCTTGAAATTATCTAATGGACTAAATTGTTTTAACAATGTCTCCTTTGAGGAAGGAACTTACTGATAAGTACACTGTTAGCTAATCACTATGGTTGTAAACTACGATTAGCATTATTATGGTGTTAACAGAAGTCTGGTAACCATGTAGTGAGGTATTAGATAGTTGAAGGCAATTGGCAGGAAGCCTTGCTTTATCTAGGTTTCGTGTTAGTTGGCGCTCATCAGTCAGCAAGCTGTATCTGCAAACTTGAAGAAACTCATGTCCCTTCTGAGATTCGAAACCACGTATAACAAGACACATTACACTAGTTACTGACTAGTGTCCAGTCCAAAAAATATCCAACACAGTCCTACAGGAGGTCAATAGCAAGCCCGGATAGCTCAGTGGTAACGTCTCTGACTGCAGGCGGCACTGGGCGATGCGATTTCAAATCTCAGAAGGGATATGAGTTCCTTCAAGGTTGCAGATACGCCTTGCTGACTGGTGAGTGCTAACAAGCACCAAACCCAGGTCAAACAAGACTTCCTGCCGACTGCCGCCAACCATCGAATAACAACAATTCACAGTGCGCCGTGATGGCGAGCCATCTTCCATAGTGGCCACATTGCAAACTTGATGAATAGAATTCAGTCTTCACCAAAGATAGGACTAGACACACACATTACACTAATTACTGACTAGTGTCCAATCAAAAAGTAGAGAAATATGCCCATTGGTTAACAGATGGAATAAGCGCAGACTACAGGGACTTCAAATGCTTGCTAACGTAAAGGATTTCAAAATTAATAGCCTATCATTTAAACATAAACAACTGAATCGAATTATATTTATGCAGAATTTTTACCTTTTTACTTTATGATTTGATTTAAAACCAAAACGAAACATAAATGTAATGTGTGGTAAAGATAAAAATGAGGAATTAGATCACAGCAGAATTCTAAACAATAAGCTTTTGCGATTTCATTCAATCCTTAGTCATCACCTATGAGATGAAAATTGACTCAACAGCATAATACTGTCAGATAGTTTTTTTATTTACAAGTAACACTATTCATAAACAGTGGACTCGATCAAGTCAAAGGTAGAATTGAAAGCAGCTCATGTATGATGACACTAAATGGTTATGGATACAGTTCATCCTAAAGTACTCCGTGGATCTTTAGGCCTCTTATAACAACCATTGACTTAAAAATACAGCATTTATTTTGATTCAACTGCTTGGTTTTCCCCCCAGGTATCACACGTGTTTTGTACCAATGTGTCAAATTACTGGGTTGCATATTCTCTTCTTATAAGACCTTATTGTTAACTTTTTATGCGTTTATTAACTATGAAAATATTCAGAAATATAAAAACAATAGAGTATAAATCATCTATTGGTGAGTATTACAGTGGTATTGATTTGTTCTTATCATAATAGGGTCACGTTGACAAGTGGTAATTATTTCTCACTAAATCATGTGACACGAGTAGAATTAATTTGTGCATATTTGTGTTTGTGTGTGTGTTATGTTGTGTAGTGTTTGTAAGACAGGCTTAGTGATATTTATTCATAGAAAATGATGTAAAATGCCATCAACCTTCATTGAATAATTAGGCTTAATGTTATCATTGTGTTTTAAATGTCCTTGAGAAACTGAGGGTGTTAGCGTAGCTAGCAAGCACCCATTGGAATGAAGGGTAGTCAAGGTAAATATATGACAGTAATAACAATAATAATAATAATGTGGTGTTAGCATATCTATTATTTGTCTGAATTTATTTGTGTCCTGAAATAACTTTCTACAGTGACGAATTTATCGAGGGATTGTGTTCTACAGATGAAGTAGTGTAGTGACACAACTATGTCTGTAAAGTATACATTATACAGCTTATGGTAACCACCATATCACTAAGCTAGAATTTAGACAATTACTCCAATGTATTTGATTAGTCTAACTTCATGCTGAACCATTTTGTAAATTTTCAAGTATGCGGATACTTATTTATTATCTGCGTTGTTCAGGACTTAACACCAGAGAAGATTCTTTACAGACAAATGAGGATGAAAGGTACTATCATATTGTAAGGAGGAGATGATCAATACTTAAGTATTTATTACTAAAATCAACGTTTCTATATATTGCGTAACACTTTTTTTTGAGGTCTGAATTCTAGTTTTGAAATAACCTTATTTGTGGAAAATTCCTATTGGGATATTGAGAAAATCAAAAGAAGTGATTCAGCGAAGAGATTTCTTTCATAAAATTTATTCACAAACTGTACAATGATAATAATTAGCTTTGTTTATATGTTTAATAAACCTATTGGTATTTGATAAATTAAACTTTATTTTACGCTTCAACAGTTTAGTGAAAGTGGATGATGTTTCTGACTATTCCTTCTACTTCTGAGTGGAGTGAAAATGTAGCCAAAAGGTTTTTCTACGTTTGTATTTAAAACCTGTACCACTTAGGTATATATTACCTTAGATTATCAATACCCCCTTTATTTAGCTCCACTGTTCGTCCCGGTCATGAAAGGTAAATCAAACTACAGTCGGTTGATGGACAAATCCTGTTATTACTATATTGTGCTAGTTTTAAAATTATCCGTACTATAGACAAAATCTGCTTTACAAAGAGAGTGAATTAACTCAAAACACTTGTATACAAATAGCCTGACGGTATCTTTTATATAACTTAGCCACTTTTCTTTATTTAGCAAAATAACTGATCATTTGTAGAAACAGTGATTCAGACTGAAAAGAAATCGAAGATAGCTAACAAAATGTTTTCAGATTACTGATTTGCTACTCCATTAGTTTGGCCACGTTAACCAAATGCTAATCAGTTCCAAATGTTACTTCAACTTCCAAAAGTTTCTATCCGATTGTCGCATGGGTGACTATTCGTTGTCATATCATGTACGCAGTCATTTGTTAGCATTTTATACGAAATCAAAATGACGTAGAAGACGAAATAGTGACTGAATAATCATTAAGTATTCTAGGATAGTCTTATTAATTTCACTTCCAGAGTGTAGTCCATCAACCCCCAAGATTTATTGGAAGACAATGTATCAATACCTTTTGTTGCACTTAAATATATTTGAAAATTTCGTGAACAATGAGAATAGTACAGGCTGATCTAAACTTGTATCCTTAATACATGCCTTTTAGAGTAGAGAAGCAGGCTTGATAAAAAATTGCACCATTTGTGATCAGCATAAATATGTAGTCATAATTCAGTTAGTGAAAGTATGAGTAAGCACATATTTTGTCTCATTATAGGACTTCATGGTGGAAACTAAATACAACTAAACCAAATTTTGGCAGTTTGAAAATTACTCATTTCGAGGTGAGATTTCAATATAGTTATTATTCGGACACCGACAATTTTCAGGTCATGATATGTGATCTATTTGGTGGTAACCTTAAATGGCAGTAAAGAAAGCAAGTTATATACTATTGACTGATTGACATGAATAATTGCAGCTCGGTTGCAAACTAGCAAAACGGTCGTCTAGTGTTTAGATTACTTCGATCTGACTTGTAAGCACTACTTCTTGATGTGAGTAATGTCCAACTACTCATGCCAGTCAACCGATAGTATGTGAATACAATTCACTCCCTGATTGATCATGTTTCTTCACCTTTTCATGTCTTCAACTCTTTTATCGATTGTACTAAGCTTTTCTTTAAAACTTCATGAAAAACATGAAACAGTATATCTTGTCTCCAGTCCTCATACACTATTTTGTAAGTAACTCACACAATCGGATCATGATAACTATGAACCAGTATTAAAAGGTCCCCTAAATCCTCTATCATGTAGGTCGGTGGTTCAGCGGTAGAATGCTCGCCAAACACGCACGTGGTGCAGGTTTCAATCCTCGGCCAACGCATTCCTAAACCTTGGTAAGTCAGTAGTAATGCAGGTAAAGAGGAAGGTTGGACATGAGGCCAGCAACTCTACCCCATAAAAAAGAATAATGCCACCACTACCGAAACCGCAAAGCTCTAGCTTAGAGCTCTCTGTGTTCCACTCAGAACGTACAGGAATAAAATAAACAATAAATAATAAATCTTCTTTCAAAAACACATATTAATGAAAGACTAAAGTGTATACATAATAGGCCTATTTTAGTCTCAAAGCGTGTGCTGGATGAAATCTGTCTATTAAGACAAGGATAAGTCGACTGATAAGAAGTTGTGAATCTACCCAAAAGGAAGTTCAACAGAGCAAGAAAAAGCTGTTCAACACTTCTCTAAGGTCTAAAAATCAGCTACACAGTAACACATTACAATGAAATAGTTACAGTATATTAAATATAGTAACTATTTCTTCGCTGAATATAGTTCGTTTTAAAACAGTTTCATCTACTCTCTGAACAACAGGTATAAAGTAAATTTGACAGTAAGTTTCAGTAAATTTAAGGTTGCATATGTCGAAATAAATATATATATATATTCTCGGAAAATAAATTATAAATAATGACACTGATAATGTTTACTTATATTTACCTTTTACAGCATATACGCTTCCTCATTTTTACAACATTAAACAGGATTATGTAGACGAAAGTGATGTGTTCATAAATCCAACAGGTATATGTGTATAATATTGTACTTTGTCTGTATTAATGTAAATGCACAAATATACAAGTACTCATAGCACACACGCACAAACACACACAAACACAAACAGAGGATTTAATCTTGACTGTGAGCTGTTTATGCAACTGTGACTATACAATAATGCAAGTGATGCATAAATATGCAATTTAAAGAAAATCAATAAAGCCTACAACAATGAGAAATAGACTATTTCAAAATCACATATTGGTGCTTATTTTGTGTATATATAATATTCAAATCTTATTAGATTTGAATTAATCATTTGCCAAATTCTTAAATAATTAGATTTATATTTATTAGAGAAGGTTATGATCACAAGTAAAAACGACGTAAAGACGAATCAACAGTGAGTCTGTTAGGCGTTCGATACTTATAGAAAATAAATACACCTAAACACACCAAACACCATCCTATATGATCATTTTAAAAGAGATTTTGTGTCATCATGGTAATGTGCTTTTTATTTGGCCTAGTGTTGGATCCTGTGTAGAAAGTAGTTTTTGACACTCTTTGATAACCGGTGATTCCATATCTCATTTATATTGTGTTATCTAGTCAGTATTCATCTGCATATCGTAAACACAAACTGTACATCCCTTATCATCAAATGACTCGATATACCTGAAATGTGGATGTGACTGGTGCTCTTTAAACTGAAATGGGTATCTCATTCATCATCAGGCTATTGATTATCATTGGAATTAATATACGGTTGGTGTTCCATAGTGTTGCTACTTTTATTAGCATGAATTACATCTATCTGAAATTGTGACTTCAGGTTGAATTGAAATAAGTATTAGTGGTAAGATAAAAAAACTCATTCTTGTGAATAAGCGTCAGACAACAGATTGTAGCACCTTAATCGAAAACAGTTTATGCTATTCAAGAGCACGGATTGATACTACAGACAAGATAATAATCCATATTCTGTTGAAAAATGTCTCAAACGTAGTACATTTGACATCGTCTTAATTCTTTCTTCAGCCCACTTAAAATAGTCATACCACTGAAGTATTATGGCTAGTGTCATGTGAAAATGAAATGAGGTTCTCTGGTTATTTAGACTGTTTGTGTTTATTCCTGATAGAATTATCCCTACATATGATCCACTAGCTGGGCTGTTTTGACTTATAAGTGTTTTATCCCTGTAGAACATGATTTTTTGTATTTTATTTGCAAACGGAAAAAGAGAATTGGGTGCAGACTCATATGACACTATTTCAAAAGGGAATATTAACAAACATAACGATATAGTTCTTCTTATGCAACTGAGAAATGAGCGTTAAACTCTATATTAAAGATGGTTGATTTTTCCCACATAAATTCACGTGTAGTCAACTCATTGTGAGAAGTGCAGTATTCTTCCTATAAACATTAGTTGATGAGGATTAGTGTACTTTTCATTTATGCAGATAATTTGGTGATTTAACTCTACACACTGTAACCAATATGCAATTTTTTTGAAATTACTGATCCATAACGATTTAGCTTTAAAGCTACACATCAAAGACTTATGCAAAATATCCTCTTAAATGTTTTTTTTTCTTATTCTACTCCTTCCTCTTTTGAAAAGAAAGTCATAAAGAGGAAACGAAGTGAAAATTGTATAAATCCAATCTGATTTTAGTAAAGATCTTTGGTCCGGGATTATTTGAACTATGCATTATGTTACGACAGTCATTCCCCATCATCAATTCGGTCAACGCTTTTGATTACTGAATCCTATTATACCTACATGGAATCTATCTCAAAGCAAATTGGTTAATTATGTACTAGTTATTAGATCTTACCTCCCCGCCAAATTTTGAGTGATTATCTGAACTACTTAATTATATTTGTCTGACATCACATGTACCTTTCGTATTTCCAGAAAGGCCACGTTTAATTATTCGTTTTTGTGTAAAAAGTATAGATGGATACTTTGAAGAATCAGAAGAGTAATTTGCACATTTATGCTTTGTGCAATTGAATAAGTACTTTATAGTTCTATGCTTTGTGACACTGAAAATTTAAAAGACCATAGCCCGCAACACTCAACTAACATGTATTCCAAAAATAATCAATATCAGTATCATATTGATGAAAAAAATAGGTAGGAGATCCTTTGTCAGTCTTTTGTGATTCTAAAATCTCCTAGATCATAAATCGGTCTAAACAGTTTTGTGTTTAACCACGTCCATAAGAATCCTTCGCTTCTTTCCTTCCGCTCAATTATATACTGAGGTACACACTCACACAAATATGCATATTAATTTTGCGCAATAATGACTTTGTGCACATGTTTTCATTCTTTCACCAGTAACCTTTCTTTAATTATCTTTTATCCAGATGTATGGTGACGTGTATTTCCCTCCAGAAAAGTGCTGATAATCCATCAATTAAGCTGTGGAAATCCAGTTATTCCGCTTGCAGTAAAAGCTAGTAGGGGGCAGGGGGAAATTTTCGAAAGGTTATTTCAATTAGGTTGAACAGAATACAGAAAACATAAAGGATTTTTGCACTGTTTAGTTAATGGTGGCAAGGAATTTAACTTGGAGACAACCGTTTCTTGAAATCAGAATTTCGAAACTTAACTTTAAACAAAGCCTTACCATCTGTGTCTCTGTTTTGGGAAGTGAAGGTTAGTGGTTTACAAGACAACAGTTCACCTGCTGCCTGAGTACAAATCTTTTTGTAACAACACTCATTGTATCTGTGTATACAAATCCAAACATTTCATATGCGTGAAGCATTTAGCGACAATAACAAAACTAAACTATAAAACTATATGCGCTTCTCTTACGAATTGGTTTCAGGTTTGTTTTTCATTAGAAATAAATGATGTATGCCAATAATAGGTAATAAGTGGTTAGCTAGTTTTGTAGTATGAGTTACTGAAATACGTAGACAAAACTGCAGAAATAATGTTTTTAAAAAATCACGATTAGACTATTTACATCAGTTTGAAACTGCTTATTTCACCTTTTTAAAATTAATTTTTAGATGATAGCACTGCTTGTTGCATTTGCCAGCCTACTCGTAATTCATACAAATCTTCACGTGTACTAGTTGACGATTTCCAGTGGAAATATCAAGTGTTTGTTTGGAGGGATTTTATTGCTTTCAAGATTAATCGCGAACTGACTTCAGTGAGAGAACCACTGAAAACCAAGGGGTACTGGACAGCTGTTTCGTCCTAGTTTAAGACTCTTCGGCACTACTCACTGAGATTTGAAATCAGTCATATCACTACAGATCAACACTTGAAAATGAGTCTAGTGCTCACTAGTGACTGACTACAGGATGAAAGTACCTGAAGTTCTAGTGGGAAGTCATGACCAGTAGGATTCCCCAAGTCGAACAAATGCTCAGTAATATAACTGACTGGTGATCACGCCATACATTGCGAAATGGCAGAAGTTAGAACTGATGGGTCACTGAATCCCATCTGAACGGTTGAATGGTTGTGGGTGCATACTAATGAAGAGTCACAAACTAGGGTGAAATAGATGTCAAGTACTCTCTGGTTTTCAGTAGTTCCCTTAATGAAATCAGTTTGTGATCAATACTGACAATATCGTCTAACACAACTCACTGTTCTAGAAAATGACTATCTATCTAATAGAAAATATTAGTGAGGAATTTGAAATATTTTAATTTTATTCTCATAACTGTTTATGTGTAAATATTTCCATCTCATATACAATTCATCTAGGTTATTTATATTTTTAAAAAATCAATCAGATTATAATGAGCTTATTGTTTACTTATCATTATATTTGACTTTCTTTTATCATAATAACAGGAGAAATGATGAATTATAGGCAGAACAGTAGCTTGTACTACCTGAAGAATGATTTGCGGAGTAAGCGAAATCGATGAAGATAAGGTAAAGAAGAACAGTCGGATATTTCTTCATTTTTAACCGCTGTGTTCAATACATTTTCCTCTTTTCAGTTATCCTACTTTTTCAGGATTTTATAAACAATAGTACATACTTATCATGATTACAGAATTAGACTCTTTGACTGTGTGTGTGTGTGGTTGTTTGGACATTCACGGACACTCATTACTTTAATAAATCTTATCATCGTAGATATGGAGGCGTGATTATAATGACAATAATAATATCATGATTTAATTTTATTGTTTTATTTACTGGTTGTTTGTTTATCCACTATTTATTTGCTAATTGTTGGTTATTTCAAAAGTCAGTACACTTTTTTCATTATATACTCAAGAAAAAAGTGATAAGAGAACTAATTATAAGCGTTAATTATGTATTCACTTTCTGATTATGAGACTACCCCCTCGAATTATGATACCTATATAACCATTTATTTATTTTTAAAATAATCCTCTAATGGACATTTTTTATGTTCAGAGAAATAGTCATCAGTAGAGTTGAAAAGTTAATTAGTATTATTTACAGAATATAGACAGAAATAAAGGAAAACAAATAAATGTATGATTGGTTACAGGATTTCATCATGAGCTGACATCGGTTAGAGAACCATTGGAAAACCTGGGAGTACTGGTCAGCTCCCTAGCGATTGGCCCTATTCAGGTAGGTAGTTACTTGAGGTTCTTTTGGGAAGTCGTAACCAGTAGGGTACAGCTGGTCGGGTGTGAGGACAAATACTTGCCGAAGACATTGGCTAGTGGTCGCGGTATATTGTGAATTAGCAGAATTTAGAATTCATGTTCCATTGGAACGGGTCCCAGTGGCTTAATGGTCTACGAGCTCACCATGTAATCGGAAGGTCGTGGGTTCGAAATTTAGTGGATGTGTACTGATGAAGAGTGCCAAACTAGGACGGAACCATTGGCTGTCCAGTACTCCCTTCAAGTTTTCCAATGGTTCTCTAACCAATGTCAGCTCATGATGAAATCCTGTAACCAGTCAATCAAATCCCTACAAACCAATACTTGAAAATGTATGATTAATTAGTCCAATGTAAGACTGTATAAGATCGCATTTATTCAGGGTGAATTCCTTCACAAACCACTAGTTTTCTGAGAACCAAAATGAGCTAAAAAGCCATGAACAGCTGTTTTTCTTCTCCTAGCGATTCTTCAGTAGAGTAGACTAATGACTGCACGTCCTTCAGACTATTAAGCAA